TCATCATCATACACAGCATTGATGTATCTAGGAGTTTTGGAATAGTGGGGGGATAATTGGGGGGTGCGCAAAGGTGGAGTGGGGCTCGATGATTAACTAAGGGGGCACAACATTAAGTTAGGGGGCACTAGGTCACAAAATAAGGTGATATTCAACCATTTAAATGTGTTTTAATTTGCTTCTGATATTTTCAATGTGGCAGTGACGGGGAGGTGCCAACTTTTTTTTGGAGGGACATGCTCTCCAAACACCCCTTAGATACGCCACTGTGTGACATTTCTTATAATAAGATCTGTTTACACGGTCAGTTTTGTGTGAAAATTGTCACAGGCATTTTTACATTATATTTGATTTTCATTCATTTTAGAAACTTTCAAATGTGAAACAGCAGATATTAGCAGAGACACCAAGATACAATGCCATTGCTGAGTCTTTAAAGTAAGTAAATATTTATTGTTAAGTAAAAATTATGTAGAGTATCTTTGTGATACTTATTATTAGTAATATTTTAGCATACATGCAGCACCTCACTAAATCAAGTAACTTAATGAACCTGATTTGTGGTAATGGGGTCAGTACTAACTGCCAAATATATAAAATTGCATTTTTAAAAATGTTGAACATAATATAAAATGATAAATCACACACAAAAAATATTAAACTGATAAATTACCATAAAAATTTCCTTTAAAACAAGATATATCTTGTTTAGCTGAGATTATTCGGAACTGAGCCAAACACGATTGTTCAGTGTTGAACTTGTAGTGATTATGATAACATTAAAATGAAGCTCTTCTACCACGCATTGATATCTTTTGCTGTTTTCTTTATGTTGATTTTAAGTTCTGGTGAGATGGATCATGATCTTAATTATGCTAATGAAGTCAGAGGTCAAGTTCTCAAACTTTTTGACGTAATGGATTTAATAAGGTAAAGTAAGCACAACCAAAAATAACCTCCATACACTATATTATTATTTATTGTTATGTTATAATTATTAAATAAATATTCTATATTAAAGCTAGGAATCCATTTGTCCGATTACCATTGCAGCCCTGTTCGCAGTGCGGTGTGTTTTAATCGACATACCTGTAACTGTTTTATAAAACGAGAGTGATTCCATTGTTGCAGTTGTGTTTGTCTCCATAATAAGCAAAGCCGAACTGGCAGACTAATCACCTTAAATCAAAACACTAAATGTTGGATAGACAATCTTTTGTTTATAATTCCATTCATGTCTTCAATAAACATTCAGTAGATAGTCATTTCTGGAAATGTTGCTGTCTCTTATTGGTGGGTGGGGATTTTTCAGGAGATATGGAGACTCACTGTGATCCACCGGCAGACAGTTAGCTGTTTTCTGTCTCTGTGACTACCAGGCTATTTTTTAGTTTCTGACTGTTTTTGCAGATTCAGGGCAGCGCTGTCCCCTATTCCTGTAGCCAGAGGGGCATGGTGATGTCTTTCCTGATCCTGACTCCACACCCACCAATAAGATTCAATAAGATTCAATAAGATTCATTAAGATTCAATAAATTCAATATGATTCATTAGATTTAAGTTATTTGAATATGTCTCTTTGGAGTTCCTTGTTAGTTTACTTTTTTCTTTATTCCTCTCTGAAATTGTACCTTGATCAATCACTTGAATTTCATTTGTACCCCGTTGATCAAATGACAATAAAGAATATCGTATCGTATCGTATCATAACATGTGGTAATTTTAATCGCTCCATGGAGGGGTTCATCTGTTTTTATTGCAGCCTACTGTGCGGTGTGATTAATTATTATGCAAATAGGCCTTTAAATCCACACGTGCATGGAATAACTTAAAACGCACTGTAAATACAACCGGAGCCGAACTGAGGCCGGAACCACGACCGGGCTAATGGATTCTTAGTTTGATATTTCACAGTTCTCCAGTATTATTATTTTTACTCTACATCATTGTTATTATTGTAAAAAAGGCTTTCCTTTTTCTACTTCATGATTTCCAAATAATATGTAATGTATGATCTATTTTACAGCAAAAGAATTTTAACTCTAGGAATGAAAAGTGAAAATCTACCACCTATAAGGATTCAAAACCTTCAGAAGAAGATTAGAATGTATGCAACCCATTTCATGCAAGACCAGATGCTCCATCTGCAGACACTGCCAACACAGGATGAACTGCTGTTCCTGCATGAGCAACGTAAAGTAGCTATTGCTCAGCGGATTGCTCATGAGAGACAAGAAGCTCTAGAGATCCAAAGGTTGGAGCAAGAACGACAAGAGAAGCAGAAGATGCAGCAACTGAAAGGTCATCAAAGGAACACCAGTTGGCCATCGATGGCATGGACCAAAGGAACAGAAGTCACAAAAATGAAGGCACAAGAGAGTGAACACTCTGGTAGTGGTACAGGTGGTAGTGGTGAAGCTAAAGGGTGGAAACCACAGGTTGTAAATCAAGCCACACTTGATGCTCAAGATGACCCTTTAGAGCAACAGATCACAATTATCAAGAATTTCCTGGAGCAAGCCAGAAGGGCTGGTAAAATGGATGAGGTGAAGATGCTCGAAGACAACCTAAGAGATTTACAAAAAGAGAAATATTTCCAAAAATTAAAATAATGTATTTTTTTTTTTTTTTTTTTTTA